AATATCATATTACTCACCGATACAGAAACTAAAAGGTGGGAAAAAATCATAAAAACAACCAATTGAGCTCTTGATTTAAGTAAATTCATTTATCATAAGAAAAAGTCATTTATTGCATATATTTACTATTGCAAGATTTCCAAAATCGACATATAGAGACAATAACTCAAATAACATCTAATCTCATATCCAAGTGAGTAAGAATAATAACTTTTCCTTTTTATTTGTTTACTGGTATCCTTGAGGGTCCATAAGGATGTCTCACTATGCGTGAACCAATATCCAACATTGTTAACTAACTAGTCGTCCTTATACCCCACCCGGCGTGAGTACCAAAAATATCATCCCTCAATACTTCATCCGACATGAGGGTGAATCGGTCCGTCCCAATACTTCGTCCGGTATAAGCGCCAAAAATACTATTCTTTGATACCCCGTCCGATATTAGGCAACATTCATGGTAGGGTTCCTTATGTACCCGATCCATCTACCATCTCTCAGAATACCCAGTAAGACTACCATTCATTAATTCATATGACCAAATAATTTTCTGTTTACATATTAATTTCAATTTCACAAATCAATTGTAAATCACGCAAGACAAGCAATATATATATCAAAGAAGCACAATTGAATTATTTAACCATTCTAGTATATCATCATGTATTTAAAGCTGTAAATTCAACAATCAATTAAACATGACAAATAAAGAACTAACTGATTCCGACTCTATTAGTAACCTGTAATTATTCTCAAATTTTTTTAAATTACACAAAATACCATATTATCGATTATTAAGATTCAATTCCGTAACAGAGAATAAGATAGAGAGATTCTTACCTGAATCGGTGTTCGAAATACCGAACTTTCTACTGCGCTTACTGGCGATCCCCAAATTTCCTGAGTTTTTTTGCAGAGATTAAAACATGATTCACGTAACTAAAAATACCCTAAAAATCTAAAATTGGTGAAAAAAAATTTTCGGCCAATTTTGAAATTCCAGCATGGCAGCACTGCCATGCTCCAGCAACGGCACCGTCGCCCGCAGCGGTGGTTTGCCTCGGCCTAGTTATTTTTGGTCAATTTTTACAAGTTTCGGACGGTTTTATACTCATCCCTACGAGAAAACACGTTAGGGAACCTCAATTAGCCGAAAAAAGTCAAAAAATGAAAACCTACCAATGGTGAAATTTTTTGGTGCGACGGCTCCGCTAACTCACTTTCGCGACTGGACATTTTTTTTTTGTCAACCTATAGAAAACAGAACAGTAAAAAAATTGCACGAAATAGGAAATGGGAAGGGACTCATCAAAGGCGTTGCAGGTTTTGCCTACAGCAATACCGCCGGACTTTGTCCTCGATTTTTGGCTCACCCCCTATTTTTTTTGCTCCAATTTGGATATGAGGGTGCTCAAAATCAAATTCTGAGCTGATAGGAGAATTTTTACCTTTTTTGGTGGTCGGATGTGGCTCCGGTGCAGCGGCAGGCGGCGGTTGGCTCCCTTCTCCAGCGACTGGATCTTGTTCTCCGGCAAGAGGCTGACGGCTAGGGTTTGGGTTTGATGTGATGCTAAATATTTATACATGTCTCGCGTTAATCTGGATCGTTCATTACATTTGATCTCGACCGTTCGATTGCTTTTAAAGATGAAATGAATCTGAACTATTCATCGTCATTTGATCTCGACCGTCCGATCACGTTTAAAGAAATAACGAATTTGGACTGTTCATCACGTTTAATCACGACCGTCAGTTCGCACCTGAGGAGGGAACGAATCCAGATCGTCCATGAGCGCGGGAACGCTTTCGGACCGTCCGATCACGGGGCACGCTGATCGCCAACGTGGCCTCCCGCATTGCACCGAGTCAGCATGCCTTGCCACGCATCGCACTCCGATTCGTTGAGGCTACTGACCAAGCGGTTCTACATCGCGTAATTTTTTTTAATTGCGTTCTAACCTCCAGTTTTCGATATTTCTTTCAAAAATACTATCTGAATCCAAATTTTTACTTATTTTTTTTAAAATTATTTCCAATATCACGTTCAACCTATATTTTTTATAATTTTTCATTAAATTAAAATTTATTAGTTTTAAAAATAAATTTTTTTATATTAAAATTAATTCCGGACTAAATTTCGGCCCCAAATATTACAATTGCAATATAATAAAGACTACTAGGATACAAAGGATCTTGGACCCCTCTGCTCAGAAATATTTGGATGTTGGGTTGCATTTGAGGTGGATTTTTTATTTTCCATTGTTGGATTTAATATCATATAAGTTTTCTAGCCAAAATCTAGGAAAGAAACTTACAAAAATAGAAAGAGAAGAGTTTTAAAATTGCTTACATGCACTAAAGAAGATGAGGTTTAAGAGAGACAAAACCCTAATCGTTGTCTCGATGAATCTCTTCTATTCGTCTTGTTTTCACAAATGAAATAAATCAATATTTATATGAGGGTGAGAAACGTGTGCATTGGCACTCCATCCGCACACAAACAATTCTGTATCCACCCTGAATGCAATCGAACATCGTTTTCATTAATATACATACATATGTATATATATATATATATACATATAGATACACACACACACACACACATACACCTGCATGACCCTAGTTATTCTTCCTCTATGGCTTCACATGTTGTGAGCTTCAGCATATGGATTTTTTTTATTAAACAATAAAATGACAAAATCAACGTTTGTTTAAAGTTGAAGTAAACAGCCATCAAGACAGAAAATTTTATTAATAATTATTATACATAGAGAGAGAGGTGGGGCATAGTGAAGAAAATGAAGACAATTAGTAAGCTAGATAGACTCAAACCATGACAATTATTAGTATTTACTTAAATTAAATTAAAAAGTTTCAAGCTACAACAGATCAAACTGAAATTTATTTTAAAATTAATATTAAATGAAAAACAATATTATGTAAATAATTTATGTTTTTTGACTTTAGTTAAAAAGATAATGAAATTCTTTCGAAAGTATCATTAGTTCTATTGTGAAATGTAACATACGCTAAATATAATTTTTAATAAAAATAATTTTTTTTATTAAAGAGAAATTTTCAATAAAAAAATATTTTTGATTTTAATAAAACAAAAAGTAATTTTTATTATTTTTATTTAAAAGTTATTTTCTAATATCTAATTCCTATAGTATAAATCATTTATGAAACTTATACATTTTCAATATGTGATTTTACTTTTATAAAAAGAAAAAACAATTTATCTTTTCACCTAAATGAATTTTTATTTTTAGTATTTAGTTAGACTTTTATTTTTAATAGTAAAAAAAAAACATAATTGTGACTAAAAAATTATTAATAATTCGTTTGACGCAGTTAATGTTTAGATTGATAAAAATACCTTAAAAATAAGTTTAAGTATAAATAAATTTAAAGTAAAAAACAATATATTGTTTGATTTTTAATATAAAATATGATACTATATTTAGTTAATTATTTATAAAATTATAATAATAAGAAATTGAAGTAATAATTTTTTCTAAATATTATTGTAATAATTAAAAAAAATATATTTATTTAATTTGAGTATTTAATTTAAGTTATTTAGTAAAATATTAATCATCATTTAAATAATATAAAATTATAATAATAAATTAATAGAAATTTATTAAGGAAGAAACATAAAATTAATAAATATACTAATTGATTTCTATTTTGTAAGCAGATTTCTGCTTTTTCACAATGAAAACAAAAATAAGATCTCGCATAAGATCCAGATTTGGCAGAAGATGACAAGTGTTTTGTTCAAAAAAAAAAAAAAAAAAAAAGAGAAAGAGAAAGTTGTTTCGCGTAAGTCAACTGTCATTAATATAATAATTAAATGAATTTGAGTCGAATTTACTGAATAATAATATTAATTATTTATTGTTGCCAGAATAAATTGCGTACGTGTAAAGTTTGTTAGTTGGCCAACGGCATTTAATTTTGTGTTTTCTTATTGTGATGGAAAATGCTTTGGCCACACCCTCAACTCTCTCTCTCTCCCCACATTTAAACCATAAGTTCTCTTTTTTTCCATTTTCCTTCATACAAACACAGATTAGAAACAGAGAATGGCCAAAGAAAATGGAAAACAAACTGAAATGGAAATCACATTCACAGGCTGTGAGCAAGCAAAGGAGGAAGAGAATGAAGGAGTTCTGATCAGTGATGAGATTGAGCGAAGTAAAGTCGGTATCATGAGAGCCCTCTGCGAAAGAGAAGATCCAACCGCTAAGGTCTCTCTTTTTTCTAAATGTTTTATTCTTCTTGTTCTTCAAATCTGTGTTTATTTTACTGTTTAACATATTTATCCTACTCCAGTTTTAACTGATTTATGCTAAATTACGGCTATGATTATAAGCTTCCTCTGTTGACTGGACTCTCCTTCCTCCAGAAATGTAAAGAGTACTTGTTCTCAGATGTCAGTTCTACTTCTTGTTTTCTTCTTTTTTTTTTCAGGTTCTATTTTCTAAGTAGATTACTTCGTCTCTTTAGTTGTTGTACTGGAAATTGACAAAGAATTGTGTGGATGGGAGAAGAACCTGAAAATGAGAATTCGGAATTGTCAGTTTAGTTTCTGTTAATAGTTTCGAAATGATGGAAAAAGTATCATATTAGCCATGGGCTTCTAGCATTAGAAGCTTCCTGTATCAAAAATTCCAGGAAAATGTCTCTCTTGGAATGCTTTCTATATATAATTTTGTGATGAATATACATGTTTAATTGGGAAAATTATATAAGAGATCAATCATGTACCGGAGTTCTGCACAATGTTTCAGTTTGTTGTGCTTGGTTTTTGCAGCAAATGGATGATTTGATGATCCGGAGATTTCTGCGGGCTCGTGATCTAGATATTGAGAAAGCTTCTGCCCTATTCCTGAAGTTCCTGAGCTGGAGGCGAACATTTGTCCCCAAGGGTTTCATATCTGAATCCGACATTGAAAACCAACTCTCCCACAACAAATTGTGCATGCAGGGCCTTGACAAGAAGGGACGCCCAATAGTTATTGCCTTTGGGGGTAGACATAAGCCAGAAAAAGGAACTCTCGAGGACTTCAAACGTTTGTTGACATATCCAAAACTATTTTTGTTTTGAATTCTGTGAACTACACTGCTCTTTTAGTTCATTGTTGTGGTTCATTTTCAGCAAGAGTAGACTGTATATTCCTCTCAGATAATCTTCGCATTTAAGTAAATGTGTAACAAGTTTGTTATATGAATTCTTTGCAGGCTTTGTTGTTTACTCTCTGGATAAGATATGTGCCAGGTAACTGACTTTGGATTAAAAAATTTGCATCAGTTTCAGTAAGGTTTTTGATGAGAGGGTCAGTATAGTAGATAGAACCAATATAAGCATCGGAAATAGGATAGTATTGTCCAATTCATGGGAATTCTGATACCATATGACTGTCAATATAGTTGTTTTTCATTTGAACAAAAATTGTATTTCTGAAATTTAAAGAACCAACACCTACGCCTTGTATTCTGTCTTGCAATGACGTTCACACATAAATTTTACAGAAAGATTGTTGTCAGACATAATTGATGTTAGTCACAGAAGCAGCTTATAATGTTCTGTTGGTCTCTTAGAATGCCAAAAGGAGAGGAAAAATTTTTAAGCATAGCAGATCTTGAAGGATGGGGATACTCCAACAGTGACATCCGTGGATACCTAGCAGCTCTATCAATTCTTCAGGTCTCTTCTTCAAACCTGAGGCAATAGAATTCAGTAAAATAATTATCTGTATCTCCCTTATTTTGGATGTCTTGTGTTAGTTTCAGTTTAAAGGCAATTCTTTTATTAGTGGAAGATTCATTCTTCATTTAATTCTCATATAAGAAAACTTGTATCAGTATTTTTTGCATGTTTTATTGTCAGGATTGCTACCCAGAGAGGTTGGGCAAACTGTTTATCGTTCATGTGCCATACATATTCATGACAGCATGGAAGATTATTTATCCATTTATTGACAGCAAGACCAAAAGAAAGGTAATCCTGAAATTTCTTTTCTGCACAATACATAAATACTCCAGCATGTTGATGATGAAATGCCAACTGCGAATATTGTATATGCATGTGTGTTTATATACAAGGCTTAAATACATTTTTTATCAATGATCTTTCATCCGTTTTCCATTTTGGTCCATGAGCTATCAGATCATACAATTAAAATTTTCATCTTAAAAGATCTTAAATTTACTCATATGTCACTTTATTATATTAAGATTAGCGATAATTGTGATATGTATGTTACATTATTAAAAGTTTGATGCTTGACATTCTATTTGGGAGAAATTATCCTCAGAAATAGGTATACTTGTTTCTTTACAAATTTTACTTGTTGGTTAGGTCAATTCTTTTTGAGATATTAATAGATCTGTGAAACTATACAGCATCTATCTGTAATAGAAAATAATATTTTACTGTGCTATGTTTCAAATTTTTTGCATATATGTAGCAATGGTGATTAATTTTAACAACATGAAGTGAAAAAAAAAACGGTAAATTAAGAATTTTATAAAATGTTGAGTCTAGTTTCATGCTTTTGAGGTCAGTGAGTAAAATGGAAAATGAAGTAAAGGTCAGAAACAATAGGTGTATTTAAACAAAACACTTACATGTTTGAGACTTACACTATTTTTGGGTTTAAATTTGTAGAGAGACAAAGATGAGAGCAAAGAAAAAAGTATTTTTTGAAGGAAAAGAGAAGAAATTTTTTTTTTTGTTTGGGTAACTAAAAAATTGAAAAGAGAAAACTGATTGTGGTAATATTTTTGAATATAGGAAATGAAATTATTTGATGAGAAAATTGTGAATGATATTATTTATTTAAGTAGTTTTTATTTTTAAGATTAGATTAAAAAATTGAGTTGGACCGGACTAGACTAAAGAACTCTGGTTTAGTCCGAGAGTATATAGACCAAGGAAGCCGGTTTCTTTCTATCTAGTCTCAGTTCAATTCAGTTTGTAGTAGTGTTTATTTTTAAGATTGGATTGAAAAATCAAGTTGGACCGGAATAGACTAAAAAAATTCTGATTTAGTCCGAGAGTATAGACCAAGGAAGCCGGTTTCTTTCGATCTAGTCTCGGTTCAATTCAGTTTGTTCTGGTCCGTCTTAATTCAGTCTGGACCTGTTGATAATATATATATATATATATATATATATATAGAGAGAGAGAGAGAGAGAGAGAGAAAAATAAAGAAATCTAGTTGCACTTCCATCTTCATCTTTTCTTTCTTCTTCACCTTCACGTTCTCACGCTGTCCCACAGCCGCACGGTCGCCCACAACCGCACAGCTGAACATTGTCATGCCCTCTGCTTTCCTTACTCCATGCCCCACAGCAACTCTCTATTCTTCTTCCTCTCTCCCCCGCCATATCCACTAGAATTCTCTCTTTGTTTCCTGTTCTTTCTTCTCTCCCCACTACATATGTGTATATATAATATATTTCAGTATATATATATACATACACATATATTTTATGTATTAACATAATATATTTATATATATGTAATAAATATATTGCATCAGTTTAATTGATTTCCAAAATATACATGTATATGTAATTTTTTTAATTAAAACAAGTTAAAAAAATTTGTCCTCTCAGTGCAGCCCGGACCAAATGGAGATCGATCCGGTTTTTTTTCCGGACTTTTTCTGGTTCTCGATTTTGTATCGATCATCTATATCTATTTATTTGTAAAATAACTCAACTTATACAGTAAGGATAAAAATTAAAAATTTCTTTAAAATTTTGAAGTTTTTTTCCATTTCTTTCCGTCCGCTTCCCTTAATTCAAATAGAGAGTTAGATACTGGGTGAACTTCTGATTTGCACAATCATTATGAAAACTCCTAGTGTAGGAAAAGGGATTCACACAGCGAAAAGAAAAACCCTAGTCTAATACATTTAGAAAGTATAAAAATGTACTTAAGCTATATTTTGAATAAATAACTATTTTAGTAAATTTTATTTAGAATTTGATATTTGACTTGTTTTTAATTTACACTTAAGTTTATTTTTATTTGATACATAAGTAATAGTTATAATTTATATTTCTGATGAATAATTTAATCAATTCTGTATCTCTGATTCTACAACAATATATTTGTATTTTCGATTCTTAACGAGAAATCCTATAAACAAATAATTTGAATTAGATATGGAATTGATTTGGAAATAGAGTGCTGTTTTTATTTAAAATTTTGTCCTATTTATGTTGTATTTATATTTCTAGATTGTTAAATAAAATTGAAAACTTTAAATAATGGAATTGCATTGTTTCACCTTTATTTAAGCATTGTTTAGACACCAATTTATTTGTTCTAGTAAGATTTTCATCAATTTTGGTCAAATTAACTGTGAAATTTCTAGTAAGTTTTTACAAAATTAAATCTCAGCAATTATTTTTGTGGGAAAACTAATCTATTGAACTCTTGGAATTTTTGCAGATTGTTTTCGTTGATAACAAGAAACTGAAATCAACCCTCCTTTGCGATATCTCTGAGAGCCAGCTACCAGATATATATGGAGGCAAACTACCAGTAGTTCCAATTCAAAACAGTTAGCTACAAATTTATTCTTCTTTTTCTTTTTTTTCTCTTCAGGATCAAATAAATTTTATAAGGACAGCATTTTTCTGCTTGATCCTGGCTATGGAATTTAATTATTGAATTGAAATATAAGAGAAAAATATTTGCTACAATTCAAGAGTTATCTTAAAAGTCTCGTGCAAATTGCTTAAGTTACCGAACAAGCCATGCGTTTTTTTTTTTTTCCAACAAATGTTTTTCTAAACAAATACCCCTGAGGAAGCAAGCCTTTTTGTTGAACATGTTTGAGGAACGTAACTGCTGGGCCTGTAAAAATTGAAAACGTTCCCAAAAAGAATATATTATTCAGAACCTCTCAATCTTGTCCGGAAAAAGCAACAGATAATCTCCAGAAGAATAAATCATTGCTGATTCAGCCAACAAAAATAGAAAATTTTAAATCATCATTTGTTGACGACAGTACCCATGGAGACATTTCATGGAATACCGTTCCAGAAAAATAGTTGCTTTCAATTTTCATCCAATCAGTAACTTGTTCTCATCCAAGAAGCTGTAAGTGGGTACTTCCAGATTAAATGGTGCTGGTCCTTTGCGGATCCTGCCAGATATGTCATAGTGTGAACCATGGCATGGGCAGAACCAACCGCCAAAATCACCAGCATTTGGTAATGGGATACACCCTAAGTGAGTGCATACTCCAACAACAACCAGCCACTCTGGATTCTTAACCCTGACAGAATCTTCCTGTGGGTCCCGAAGGGAACCAACATCAACACTGTTGGCTAACTTGATATCTTCTTCAGTTCGTCGCCTGATGAAAACTGGCTTCCCCCGCCACTTGACTGTAATAGTAGTTCCAGGCTCAATGCTCGAGAGGTCAACCTCGAGCGAGGCTAGTGCAAGAACATCTTTGCTGGCGGACATGCTCAGAACAAGTTTCAGAACCAGAAGACGAACTAAGGAGGCATACACAAATCTGCCACCTGACAAGACAAAATAGGCAAATGCACGCTTACTGGGATCACCAGGTGGATATCGCTCATGGTTTTGTTCGTCGTAGACGATCTTTGAAGTAGGATTCTTCACAGCTGCCACAGTAGCTGGAAGGTCAGAACCCACATCGTGCTCTGGAAGGACAGCATCACAAGAGAACCCTGAACAAGTTGCCAACATAAATGTCATGTAATCACCTTATCTCAGAATATAAACTTCAACACTAAGCAAGAACATGCAATTGGTTTTGTCTTATCGTGCCATCACTAGTAGGAGGAGCAGTATCAGCTATGCATCACCTTAGCAACTTCCATTAAAGGTTTCACTGGTATAGAAAACTGAACAAATAAAGAGAAGGAAAGAAGTCTAAAGAAGGGACAGACTTATAACAAAGCATTTGCAAGCATGATAAGATAATTCCTGAAAAGGACTCTAAAAGGATCTTTAATAGCCAATTGATACAATGCATAGGAAAAAGTAGTTTGTCAGATATTGACCGGTGACAAAGAATAAGAACAGGGACTCCAGTCACCAAAAACAGAACAACACTCTGTTTGCAAAAAAAGACCAGACTATTAAACTCTTCAGAATCTTCTCTGAAGAAGAATATTTCAAAAAAAAAATTAAACTCTTCAGATTCTTGTTCGAAATATTAGCTAAAACAAATAGGTGACTTCAATTGAAGTTAGTGCAAGCGAAAAATTCAATTGAAGTTAACAAATGACTAAACACAAACAACTGATGAAAAATTTATTGCCATTAATTATATTTGATAAATACAACTTCTGATCCCTTTTGGGTGAAGTGATCAAAACCCAGAAGGTTGATTGTTTCCAACCACTTCAACCCATCCAAATACCACAATATTGAGTTTGCTTCAAATTCCAATTCTATGAAATAGAAATTAAAATAAAACAGAAGTAGAATAAATATTTGGACAAAAACAATATTGTGATTCTAAGTAAATTCTATATTTAATTCAAGTTAGATGTTTTTGTAATTCCATTATTGATGGTAAAATACAACTTCATAGTTGTGGAACTGAAAATTACTGAAGTTACTTCAATTATGCATCACATATATAAATTATGATCAACTTCTAGGTATTGCAAAACTAAGATTTAGGAATTTAGAATAAAACAGATTTGAACCAAATAAAACATAAGAGAGATTTAAAATCCCGAAATATATTTCCAACTACTTCAATCCATCCAAACTCCCTAGTATAGATATTTAAAACCCTGAAATTTGAACCTTTCCAGCCAACTCAGTCAATCCAAATACCCCAATAGATAATTAAAAGAGAATATGGATACCCAACTACAATGAAGTCTTGACTGAAAACAAATGCCTTTTGCAGCCAATTTTCCCTTTAAAACGAGATGCAATATTTACCTGAACTATCCAAAGGCCTCATGAGATACATAATGACAAAGCAGCAGATGTTTATCATTTCTCAGAGTATAAGAAAGATCCTCCAGAAATCATTTGCGCGACATATTATATCAAACCTCTTAATAATTTTTATAATATCAAGCCTCTTAATAATTTTTATAATATCAAGCCTCTAACATTCCTCAGCTTAAATTATTATCATATCGAGATTTATCAAAAAGAACATAGCAAAGATTATAAAAGATGGTTACTCACATTTCCAGCAATATGAAGAACTTGCATATAATCTACAAAAATAAACAACTAAAAGGAAGGAATCATCTCCAAGCCAGTCGTGAGGTCTTGTCCAATAGCATGAGTTTGAAACATTTCAAACACGGGCGACCACTTCCATAGTTTCACGTCATAATTGCTTGGATAACAGAACGAAAGTCCGATCGCAAATATCATTGTTCATAACATTTACCGTCAATTAAATAACTCGAGAACTAATGCAACTTATCAAATCGTCAGAACCCAATGCAACCAAACAATACAAATGGAAACTCCAAATTTGAAACAAAAGGAGATTAGAAAAAACAAAAGGAAAGAGGCAAACCTCTGATTAGATGTCGATGGTCGAAATTGAGAGCGAGAAGATTCGGTGAGGAGACAGATCTATAGATCGAAGAGTCGCCCCCATCACTAAGAGAATGATTACGAGAGAAGATGGAAGAGGTTGCTTGCGAAGATCTCCATGTTAGAGATGAGAGCCTCCTCCCTGCCACTCTCAGCATCTTCTTCTTCTTCTCTTACTGACAGCGCTAGGGTTTCGATTTCGCAGTATTTTTCCTCGGAGGGTAGAGAGAGAGTCAAAAAGCGACCTGACCTGGTTGCTAATCTCCGTAAATTTGAATGGAGTTGGCGTACACGTCATCACCATTAAATAACCCGCGGAGACTAGTATTTTTATTAGTATTTCAAAAAGTTTATTTTTATAATTTTATTTATTTAATATATTTTACTTTTTATAACTTAAATATTGCGTTTGCTTTACATTTATATTATTTTTATAAATTTAATTTAATTTAATTTTAATGGTTTTTGTTCAGCATTAGAAAAAAATAAATCTAAATAGAGTAAGAATAAAATTAAAGAAAATTCACAGTATATTTTCCTTAATTATGAATATGAGGATGTGGGTTTATATACAAGAATAAGCAGTCAGTTAGCTAGCTGTCATTAACTCACACAAAATGTTCTTTAACAAATTACATAAAAAAAAAAATTAAAAACTAACTTCTGTACAACTGTCATAATGCATGAGCTAACACAGTGAAAAATGATAGAATAATTACTACATCCCCCTCTTAAGTTGGTGTTTGGTGAATGTCACAAAAGTCGAACTTGAACAGAATCTAATGAAAAGCTGGAGCAGAGAGAGGCTTAGTTAAAAACATCAATAAGCTGAGAGGAAGAAGGAACATGTTGAAGGTGAATGAAGCTTTATTTGTAATGAACTCTGATAAGGTGACAATCAATATCTAGGTGCTTAGTACGCTCATGGAACACTAGGTTCTCAGTGATGTGAATTGTTGTCTGGTTGTCACAAAACACGGGAATAACAAAAGAGATGGAAATCTAAAAGTCTTTAAGAATATATGAAATCCATAATAACTTACAAACAGTTGACCTCATACTTCTATATTCAACTTCTACTGAGGATCGTGAAACTGTAGACTACTTCTTAGTTTTTTAGAAAATAAGAGATGACCCAAGAAAGATGTAATAGCCAGTTAAGGATTGTCTAGTGTTGAGACAAGATGTCTAATCTGCATCATAATAGGTCTAGAGCTAAAAAGAGTTATCTGCTGCAAAAAACAATCCTCTTAATGGAGAACCTTTCAAATATCGAAGCACATGAAGAGATACATTCCAATGATGTTGTGTTGGTTTATGCTTGAACTAACTAAGTTGTTAGATTGCATAATTAATATCTAGACGAGTAAGGTTAAGATACAACAGCCAGCCAACTAGCCTACTGTATTCCTTAGGGTTAGAAAATTCAGGGCCAACTTATGTGCATTTAAAAGTCTTTAAAAGAGGAGTTGAAGCAGGCTTACAGCCTAACAATCCAATATCTTGAAGGATGTTCATAATGTACTTGCGTTGACTGAGAGAAGTACCCGAAACAAAACGAGCTATCTCTACTCCAAGAAAGTAACGAGTATGGCCAAGATCTTTTATTGTAAATTTGGAATGTAAAAAACGTTTATCTGCTAAAATTTCATATTCATGAGTGCCAGTAACCAACACATCATCTACATAAACGAGGAGAGCCAAAAATGAAAAAGAAATGGACTTGATGGACAAATAGTGATCATGAGGAGAGTGCTTAAAACCATAATGTTGTAATTAAGAACTGAATTCAACATTCCATTATTGTGATGCTTGTTTAAGTCCATAAAAAGACTTGATTAATTTACAAACTTGACCAGGTTGTACTTTAGTGTATCTTTTAGGAGGAGTCATATAGACTTCCTTATGTATAAAACCATACAGAACACATTATTAATATCCAACTTATACAATGGCCATGATTGGGCAGTAGTAATAGCAAGAAATAACCTAACAATAACAAGCTTAGCAACCGATGAGAAACTATCAAAGTAATCCACACCATAAACTTAATTGTATCCTTTCGCCACGAGGCGTGTAATGATCGCAGAAATTCTAAAGAAAATAAATTATAAATTTAATGTGGAAGCAAAATAAATAGTTAGGGTTTACATTCTTTACACAATAACTTAAAGTACAAAATAGAGTTTACGGGAATAACCCTTCTAAAAGGACAATTAATAACTAAGAAAATAAATTAAAGTAAACAAGTGAACGTCCTACTCGCAATCCTCTTATGGATCGGGCTCTGGATTCTAGTCCTCTTGATCTAAAATAGTTAATGAAAGAATGAGCTACACTAGCCTAGTAATAATATCACACTACTCACCGACATAGAAATGAAGGTTGGTAGAAATCATAAAAATAACTAATGGATCTCTTAAATAAACAAAATCATTTATCATAATAAAACTATTTACCGCTTACTTACCATAGCGGAATTTAAAAAAAAAACAACCTATAGAGTCAATAATATAACATATATCATAATTTCATATGCAATTAAATGGAATAATAATTTTCTCTTTTATCAGCCTACTGGTATCCATGGGGGTACATAGGGATATCCCCACAATGCGTGAAGCCTTTCCTTTAATATTTCTAATTAACGGGCCATCACCATACCCCGTTCACTTTGAGCGCCAAATTACTAAACTTCGATATCCCATTCGGTATGAGGGTGAAACGGGCCATCCCCATACCCCGTCTGGTATGAGTACTAAATTACCAAACCTCGATACCCCGTTCGGTATGAGACAACATTTATGGTAGGGTTCCCTATGTATCCGATCCGTCCACTATCTCCCAAGATATCTAGTAAGGCTGTTGTTTTACTCATTTACCTAATCAAACAGTTTTCTGATTTCCTTTAACTTCAAGTTTATCAATTCAACGATAATTATATGAAACAAAGCAATACATGCATTCAAACTATAAGATCAATCAATAAGATATTATCATACATTCAAACTATAAAATAAATCAACACAATCAACAGTGAATAATTTCTAATTTTGGCTCCATTAATGACCTGTAATTAATCATGGGTATTTTTTACACTACCCAAAGCACCATATTATTATTATTAATTAGACTTCAATTCCATAACAGAGAATAAAGTGAGGAATTCTTACACAAATTGATGCTCGAAATGCTAAACTTATTAGTTGTGCTTACTAGCGGTCTCCGAGTTCCCTGAATTTTCTCGCAGATTAAATGCGCTTCAGTACTTAAAATATCCCAAAAATCCAAATCAGTGTAGACCCCTTTTGCAATCTGAATCTGACCGGCAGCTCGTCAT